ACTTTTAATTTTACCGGTTTTATCATTTTGTTACCGGTTTTATCATATTTTTACCTGGTATATCGTTTTGGATCGATATATTTCTTAAAAGTATCGACACTTTTTAGGATTTTAAACTGCTTTTAAAGTTATGTAATTTATGTTTCAATTTATTTAATAGTGTTTTATGTTTTCCACCTACAATATTAATTTAATAATTTAATTACACAAAATTTTATTTGATTGTTTTGATATTTTATAAAATATTATTTAGAATTTAAATTTAACAATATTAACCAAATATAATAATAAATATGTTTTCAACAGTGAAATAAGTATGGACACTTTTATAAAAATGATATATACTTTTTTGAAAGTTATGTAATTTATGTTTCAATTTTTTTAATAGTGTTTCATGTTTTCCACCTACAATATTAATTTAATAATTTCATTTACACAAAAAATTATTTGATTGTTTTGATATTTTATAAAATATTATTTAGATTTAAATTTAACAATATTAACTAAAGATAATAATAAATATTTTCACAGTGAAATAAGTATGGACACTTTTATAAAAAGGATAGATAATTTACAATATAACATGTAAAAATATGACAAAACCAGATTCATTATGACAAAACCGGTAAAATTTACTTGATATGTTAAAAGTATGGACACTTTTATAAAAAAGATAGATACTTACCGATAACCAAAGTTTACCGGTTACCAAATTTTTTAATAGTTTTTCATATTTTCTACCTAAAACATTATTAGTTGTCAACATAATAGGTACCGCTAAACCGAATTTATTAAATACATTTTAATGTATCCGGTAATGCTGTATATTAGCCGTATATTAACCCGCCTTTCCTGAGACATTCCCCCATACTTGGTGATAGTAATAGCACAAGCATCAGTGATGACAGCTATTTAAAGTAGGCCTAGCTGTAGCAACAGGCCGCACATGTCCAAGGATGTGAGGTGGGCAGCCATCCGCCACATTAAGATGAAGGACGGGATATTGGGGTTGCGGCATTTCAATCTCTTAACGAAGCTTGTTTGTGGAGATATTGGGACGGTGTATCTTGCAGAGCTTATTGGTACAAACTGCTTGTATGCTATAGAAAGTCATGGACAATGAATTTTTGGCAAGAAGGAAGAAAATGCCAAGAGCCCAAAACAGAGAAGAAAATACTAAGGATGCTTGATCACCCCTTTCTCCCTACTTTATATACCCAATTTACATCAGATAACTTATCATGTTTAGTTATGGATTACTGTCTGGGTGTATGTTTAATGAGATAAAGAGTGTTATTCTATATGCAGATTTTATGTAGCTCGAGTCTTGCTTGCTTTGAAGTACTTGCACATGCTTGGAATTGTTTACCATGATTTTAAACCAGAAAACATTCTGGTTCGAGAAGATGACCACATAATGCTTTCAGATTTTGACCCTTCACTTAGATGCACAGTTACTCCAACTCTCCTCAAACCTTCATCAAATGTGGACCCTGACAGGATATCTAATCTTTTATAAAGTTAATTACTTTATAATTTATTTTTTAACACAAATTTCATTAGAAAATTGATATTCAAATCTTTTATAACTTTAATTCTTACGTAAGTCAAAATATTTGTTGAAGTTAGCGTTCGTGGTCACGTTTTCGGTCGCGTCACGTTTATCACGGTTGCGGATATAACGGATGTTATTGCGTTTATTGCAGATATCGCGATCGTGAATTTTTTATAATGAGCTAATTTTTTTAATAAAAAAACCTGTTTTTTTTAAAAATTAAAATAACGGAATAATAGTTGAATAGCGGTCTGCTATTATCGTGATTGGTTGCAATCTGTTAAATTGCGACCATGATCCGCCGCTATTGGTGTGATCTCGCTTCACACCGTTATTTTTCGCGATATCAGTTTCGAACACCGCCGCGACTGTGATATAACAGTCGCGATACCGTTGTTCGATCGCTATTTGAAACCCAGGCTTCACCATCAGTCATTCAACAACTTCAATTCTTACATAATATTCATTGTAGTATCATTAGATTGATCGAGAATTAATTCCTTACAATTGAGAACTCAATATAAAAAAAAAACTCTTTTTACATATCTCCAATATCGCTAAAAAAATCATCACAACAAATTTGTTTAAAACTTCCACGAATGCTTGTGATTCAACAATAGTCGAGATAATTTGGTTAGTGATATTCATAAATTATTTTAAAATTCTATATTAATAGTGGATCTGTTATCGAAACTCAAAGAAACAATGGAAATGTGTTGTCACATGGAGTGGAAGTGGGAAACAGGATGAGGCCATCAATTGGTAGTATTTTATTGACTAAGAAATTCAAACCACTAAATTTTTGGAAAACGAATTGCTAACTTTAGGCCGATTATTCGAACAATTTTAATACAGTTTCACATTAGTTAAGTGTTTATTTTTTATTATTAATAATTGGCTGAATTCGCCCAAACATTCATCTTCCTTGTGCATAATTACCAGTTTTTAGTTTCATTGACCAAGAAAATGTTATTAAATACAAAAATCCAAACTATCTACGCTTGCTTAAATAAACTTTATCATGCAAAACTTTTTTAAACCTACCATTTGTATTATTTTATTTATTATTAGTGCATTAACTAAATATAATCCCTAAACTCGATCTAAATATTACGATCGAATTTTGAAGATCATAACAGTTTAAATTAACATAAGACAAGTCTTTTTTTGAATTCAGGGGCAAATATTACAACCCAAAATAGATTCAGATTATGTGTATTTTGAGTTAAACATGTGAAATCGAACTGAGCTGAAAGAGGGTAGTCTGAATTTATCGGAGAACAATACGAAGATACATGATCACTTTCAAAACATAGTATCAAAAGTAACATCATAAATTCTAGAATTTACTTATTATAAATGTCACTAAAAGCAACAAATAATGTAAAGCAGTGCTTTCGGATTAAAATTTGGCAAAACATACTGCAAAAATGGACTTATGATGTCAAAAAACATATAAGTAATAGTCAAGGATTAAAGTTAACAGTCAACGGTTAATGGTCAACGGATTTGGTTTGATCAACAACAATTCAGACTATTTTTTCTACATTCGTATTTTAAAGCATGAAGTCGATTTGCAGAGAAGAATGATGGAGATGAGATTTTTCGTAAAATCCGAAACAACACTCCCCTCTAAAACAACGATGGCGATGGTGACGGGCAAACCAAGAGCACCGACTGCAAGGCACGATGAGGCGAGACCAATGATACCGGTGGTGACACCTAGACAAAAACTGTTCTTGAAATGTTCGGCAGGGAGTTGTTCTTGAAATGTTAGGCAGGCGGTTCAAAGTGCTTTCCTTTTTTAAAATAAAAAAACCTTTGGAAAAATAACGTCCAAGACTTTGCATTTTACTTTCATATAAAATACATTTATCAAAATAATACCAACCTTTTTAATTAGGTTTTGTGTGTTCTCAAATAATATGCATGCATCTTCTGTACCTTATTACTATTATATATTATGCATTGCTACTGTATTATTACTCTATGTTGCTTGATTTCCCATAAATATTACTTGTGAATATGTTTTTATATGAATGTATTAAATTTTGTCGATTACATGTATATATATTTTTATTATCGATGAAAATAAAATAGTATATGTTTAAATACTACCAATTATTCAGCAATCAACATTTATATCCCTATATATACGATGCTCGAACCAAAATTTTAAAAAAATAACAATGGAAATCTTAATTACTGCAGCCATTTAGTTTGTGCTCGATGAATATACTTAAATGATTATATTTGTATATTAATTTTTAAGTTATGCGTTGAAAATAATATTTAAAAAATTTACAGCAAATTTTTCTTATTAAACACGTTAAAGTGTCAGACTTCCGCAATGTATTTTGCATGTATGCATACTGAATCTTGATCGGATCCCTCAAGATCTTAGCCTCAAAGAGTCTCTTCCGAATAACGTTTGTTGATAATATATTAGCCTCAAGATCTTAGCAAATAATTACTTAAATGTTTGTTGAATAATTTAATTAAACAAAAAATGGAACTCGTTAGGTTATTTAATTTTTACGAGGGTTAGTATTTGTGTAGGGGGTGATAATAATGGGTGGATATCTATTATTTTTTAATTGTTTAAATTTAAGTTCGTTTTAAATATTTAAATCTATTTTTATTTATAAATTATTCAAATATTATTGTTTAGATATAGATTAAATATTGACATATACTATATATTTAAAATTAAAATAAATCAAAATTTAAATCATATTTTAAATATTCTAACTCATTAAAGAAATATATTATATATGTTATAATACAAAATTAAATCCAAATTTTTAATCTATATCTACATAAATATTTCAGATTTAGATATTTACAACCGTACGTAACTTGACGTAGTTTCTTTATATCCACAAATTACATTGATTTAATTAGTTTGGTCCGTCGTCAAAAGAAGAAATACATAGTCGGAAAAGCAGCAAACCTAACTTCTTTTCGCTTAATTGGAATTTCTCTAACTACTGCAAACTATTATTTTATAATTTTTAGAGAATGAAGAAATCATTGAGTCATTTTTGTGTTGACTTTTTATAATAAATGTTTATCCTGCTTTGACTTTTTAAATGTTACTATTTTTAATAGTTTAAATAATTATAGAATAATATTTATTTATAATTACAGATTATGTATACAATTACTTAAATTTAAAATCTTCAATAGAGTGGTTTAATTATAGGATAATTTTTTTTATCACTACACCGTTAAAAACCCACCAAAAGCAGTCCCTTCAGTAGCTGCAATTTTCCATTTCTTAACTCAACGTGCGTCTGGTTTATTGACACTAACCATGCACTCGTTTTATCTTCGAGTCAATAGAGTGTTGACTCCTATTCTTTTATCTTCGAGTTTTGATTTCCCACTCCCTTTAAGCACTCGTTTTTTCCGTCTTCATCATTCCAAACCCCTTCTTTTCTGCCAGAAACAAACAAGAAATCATGTTATAGATAACCATTCGGATTAGTATTGTGAAAAGGGGCATTTTTAGTATCAAAATTATGGCGTCAGCTTTAGCCGGAGACGATCTAGTGAGGTCGATGAGCAGCAGAAGGAGCTGGGTATCATCGACGGCGAGCATCAGAGAGGTTTGGCAATCTTCGCCGGATGTGTTCAATAGGAGCGGACGTCAAGATGATGAGGAAGAACTACGATGGGCGGCCATTGAGAGGTTACCCACGTATGATCGGTTGAGGAAAGGGATGTTGAGACAAGTTCTGGATAATGGAAAAGTGGTTCACGACGAAGTTGATGTCACTAAGCTTGGAATGCAAGATAAGCAGCAGTTGATGGATAGAATGTTGAAAGTTATTGAAGAAGATAATGGAAAGTTTTTGAGAAGATTAAGGGACAGAACCGATAGGTAAGTTGGGTTTGAGATTTTCTTCTTTTTTTCTTTTGGATTTTGATTTTGATATTTGGTATATGGATCGGTTTAGGGTGGGGATTGAGATTCCAACGATTGAAGTTCGGTTTGAGCATTTGGAAGTTGAAGGAGACGTGTATGTTGGAAGCAGAGCGCTTCCTACGTTGCTTAATGTTACCTTGAATGCCATCGAGGTAAACAAAAGTGTTGTATATGGATAATTAAAATGATTTTAAATAAATATTATTTTATAATAATCACATTTTTTTTAATTTAGATGCACGATATAAAGAATTTTGGATCTATTAGTTTTCAAAATCTTTCATATTTTCAAAAGAAATAATTATTTTTATTTACTATATTTATAATTTTATCATTGATATTTAAAGTTATATAAGAAATTCAAATATTTTTTCAAAAAATCATATTGTTTTTTTTTCTTTTGGTTCCTTATGTTTTCAAAATTGAATGTATTCGTCTTTTGGAAATTGTAGAGAAGTTAATGAAGGGACCGCAATTTTTTAATAAAATAATATAGAAATCAACTTCACAAAGTTAAAATAAAGATTAAATTTTAAATTTTGATATAATTGATTTTCTTTGGATTTATTCAATTTCCATGTTTTAACTTCCTTGAAAAACAGAGCATTCTTGGATTAGTTCGGCTTGCACCATCTAAGAAGAGAAAAAACCAGATACTTAAAGATGTTAGTGGCATAGTAAAACCTTCAAGGTATTTCCATGAAATTTTAGTCACCTTTTTGTTTCATTTTGTAACACGAAAGTATTTTGAACAAGCCAAATAGTATTGATCAAGTGTTTCTTTCGATGAAATGGATACGTTTTTTCATTTAATATAAGATGAATATTTTCAGGATGACTCTACTTTTAGGTCCTCCAGGAGCTGGAAAATCAACGTTATTAATGGCACTTACCGGAAAGCTTGATCGTGATCTAAGAGTGATATTCCGACTCTTTTCTAATAGGTTCTATCTATTTAAATGGTTTATCTAAAATGGCATATGGTCTCCTAATATTAACTTGGCTTTGTGAATAGTCGTCTGGGAAAGTCACTTATTGCGGTCACGAATTGTCGGAATTCGTTCCTCAAAGAACATGCGCTTATATCAGTCAACATGATCTTCACTATGGCGAAATGACAGTGAGGGAGACATTAGATTTCTCGGGACGATGTTTGGGAGTCGGTACGAGGTACGAAATGCTTTCCGAGCTATCAAGAAGAGAGAAAGAAGTTGGAATTAAGCCAGATTCTGAGATTGATGCATTCATGAAAGCCACAGCAGTTGCAGGCCAAGAAACAAGCTTGGTCACGGATTATATTCTAAAGGTTAGTCCTCTTTGTCTCGAGTTATTGGTTTATCTCTTTGTTTATCATCTAGACAATCAAATTACAAGGTAAAAATTGACTCTTGTAAGCATTTGCAACAGATTCTTGTGTTGGATATCTGCGCGGATATCATGGTCGGAGATGATATGCGTCGGGGTATTTCCGGTGGCCAAAAGAAGCGTGTGACTACAGGTATAAAAGTTTAAGCATACAGACTTTGTATATCACAGTTAATTGTGATGCTATCGTTCGGAGAAATGATTGAAACCATCATGTTGCAGGAGAAATGTTGGTCGGACCAGCAAAGGCACTTTTTATGGATGAAATATCAACAGGGTTGGACAGTTCAACAACTTTCCAGATTTGCAAGTTTATGAGACAAATGGTTCATATCATGGATGTAACCATGGTCATTTCTCTTCTACAACCGGCACCAGAGACATACGATCTATTCGATGACATTATCGTACTTTCAGAGGGTCAAATTGTTTACCAGGGTCCACGAGAGAGTGTCCTCGATTTCTTTGAATTCATGGGCTTCAAGTGTCCTGAGAGAAAAGGAATTGCAGACTTTCTGCAAGAGGTAACTTCCAAGAAGGACCAACAGCAATATTGGTTCCAAAAGAACCGACCTTATAGATATGTTTCAGTTTCGGATTTCGTCAATGGCTTTAGTTGCTTCCGCATTGGCCAGCAGCTTTCATCAGATCTTAGCGTTCCTTATGACAGAACTAGAACCCACCCCGCTGCTTTAGTTACTGAAAAATATGGTATTTCCAATTGGGAACTATTCAGGGCATGCTTTGCAAGGGAATGGATGCTAATGAAGCGAAATTCATTCGTTTACATATTCAAGACCATCCAAATAACAATCATGTCGTTGATTGCCTTGACAGTGTTCTTTAGAACTGAAATGCCAGTGGGCACATTCGAAAACGGTCAAAAGTTTTTCGGGGCCTTGTTTTTCAGTTTAATCAATGTGATGTTCAATGGAATGGCAGAACTTGCAATGACTGTTTTCAGGCTGCCAGTGTTCTATAAACAGAGAGACTTCTTGTTTTATCCTGCATGGGCTTTTGGCTTACCAATTTGGGTGCTTAGAATCCCACTATCACTTGTGGAATCAGGGATATGGATTGCTCTAACATACTACACCATTGGCTTTGCTCCAGCTGCTAGCAGGTAAGTTACAATGAAAGCAAATCATTGATCATTAATTCACCATGTTTTTATTTCAACCTTTGATTAAACACCATTTTCCTTCTGATCTCCAGGTTTTTCCGACAGTTCTTGGCATTCTTTGGCATCCACCAGATGGCATTGTCGCTCTTTAGGTTCATTGCTGCGGTAGGAAGAACACAAGTGGTTGCAAACACCTTGGGCACCTTCACCTTATTGTTAGTTTTTGTACTTGGAGGTTTCATCGTCGCCAAAAGTAAGTGTTCGACCTCTCTTTGTCGCTAAAACACGGTTCTCTGTTAAACCTTTTACTTCATTTCAAGTATTATTAACACGGCTTTTACTTGCAGACGACATTGATCCATGGATGATCTGGGGATATTACGTTTCTCCTATGATGTATGGACAAAACGCCATTGTCATGAATGAATTCCTCGACAAAAGGTGGAGTGCGGTAAGATATTCGAAGCCTCCGTGTTTAATCTCTTTATGCATTCAGTTATATAAACTTTGGTTAGCCATTCATAAATCAATACCTTGTATAAAATTGATGCAATGCAGAACAATACAGACCCCAGAATTGATGCACCAACAGTAGGGAAAGTTCTTCTCAACACCAGAGGCTTCTTTACTGAAGAATATTGGTTTTGGATTTGTGTTGGAGCACTCTTTGGGTTCTCTCTTGTCTTCAACATTTTATTTATCGGAGCATTGACTTTCTTGAACCGTTAGTGACATTCTTAATTTGTTCTTACACTTACAAGTTACAATTATTTGTGGTTGAATATTCAATCTGTTAATGAACTTTCAGCCTTGGGTGATTCCAAAGCCGTAGTCGTAGACGAAGACGAGAAAAAGAATACTAAAAACCCATACTCAGGCGGAAGAATACCGGAAGGTAACCGAACAAAGTTTAAACTTCGAGTTAAAGTACTTATTCCATCTGTCTAGAAGTGTTTAATGTTTCTGAATGATTTACAGGTATTCTTCTAAAAGCAAGAAACACTCCAAAAAATCCTAGAAAAGGCATGGTTTTGCCTTTCCAACCTCTTTCACTTGCATTCAACCATGTTAACTACTATGTTGATATGCCTGCTGTAAGTTACTTGCATGTTATATTAACATTTTTGGTTTGATGAGCAAACATTTGACGTGAAAACCATGGTTTCTTCACTAGGAAATGAAGGCTCAAGGTATCAAAGAAGACCGTCTTCAGTTGCTACGAGACGTTAGTGGTGCTTTCAGACCAGGAATATTGACAGCATTGGTGGGTGTTAGTGGAGCTGGGAAGACAACCCTGATGGACGTTTTAGCTGGGAGAAAAACAGGCGGATGCATTGAAGGACATATCACCATCTCAGGCTACACCAAGAACCAAGCAACCTTTGCTCGTGTCAGCGGTTACTGTGAACAAAATGACATTCACTCCCCAAATGTCACGGTTTATGAATCACTCTTGTACTCCGCTTGGCTTCGCCTTGCTTCCAACATCGACATGAAGACTAGAAAGGTTTGTAAAAACATCTGCAGTGTTCTTGTTTTGAACTCATCAACAATTTTCCCATCGTAAAACTAGATATTGATTTTTTTCTTCTATAGATGTTTGTTGACGAAGTTATGGAGTTGGTTGAGCTCAAACCAATAAGGAATGCTTTAGTTGGACTTCCAGGAGTCGATGGTCTTTCGACGGAACAAAGGAAAAGGTTGACAATTGCAGTAGAGCTGGTTGCTAATCCTTCCATCATCTTTATGGATGAGCCAACTTCAGGGCTTGATGCCCGAGCTGCTGCGATCGTTATGCGAACTGTGAGGAACACTGTGGACACAGGGAGAACTGTTGTCTGCACAATTCACCAACCTAGCATCGACATATTTGAAGCATTCGATGAGGTATAAAACTCTCCAGGGACTTATGTCACTTCTTTTAGTTGTGTAATTCCTACTGCCTGCATTCAGCTTAGTATTATGCTTGTTGCAGTTGCTGTTAATGAAAAGAGGAGGGCAAGTCATTTATGCTGGACCTCTCGGTCGGCATTCTCGCAAGCTTATAGAATATTTTGAGGTTAGAGCTTCTAATTTCCCTTTAGAAAATCCTTGTTAGATTCTTGATGACAGAGTTGAGCAACATAAACTAGTTCTAAAATTGCATCTTTGACTGCAGGCCGTCCAAGGGGTTCCGAAGATCGGAAATGGATACAATCCGGCAACATGGATGCTTGAGGTCAGTGCTCCATCAGTTGAGGCTCAACTAGATGTGAATTTTGCAGATATTTACTCCAACTCATCACTTTATCGGTATGTCTAAATGCAATTAACATAGTTGACAATCTTTTTCCTCTGAAATTGGACAAGACTTATGATTCATTATACTCAATTTCATCGTTTACAAACATTCAGGATGAATCAAGAACTTATCAAAGATCTTTGTGAACCAGCACCTGGATCAAAAGACCTTTTCTTCCCAACAAAATATTCTCAGTCATTCTTCACACAATGCAAGGCTTGCTTTTGGAAACAACATTGGTCTTACTGGAGGAACCCTCGGTACAATGCCATTCGATTTTTCATGACCATAGTTATCGGTATCTTATTCGGTCTTATATTCTGGAACAAAGGAGAAAAAATGTAAGCAAATTTTCTTTTATCGTGAAACAATTTGTTCTCCATAGGGTGATTCAAATTTGGCATTAAATAAAAACTATTCTGATCATTAGATCAAGACAACAAGACCTGATGAATCTTCTTGGAGCATTGTATTCTGCCGTTCTTTTCCTTGGAGCTACCAATGCTTCAGCTGTTCAGTCCGTTGTTGCAATTGAGAGAACCGTCTTCTACCGTGAAAGAGCAGCCGGAATGTACTCCGAATTGCCTTATGCATTCGCTCAGGTAAAGAATTTTCAGTTCAGTACAAATGAAAGTGATTGTCCATGGTGGACTTATAAGAACTACCCTTTTTTACTTCAGGTGGCAATAGAGACAATCTATACTGCAATACAAACTCTCATTTACACATTACTTCTTTACTCAATGATCGGATTCGAATGGACGCCAGTGAAATTCTTGTGGTTTTATTACTACATACTAACATGCTTTGTCTACTTCACTTTGTATGGAATGATGATTGTTGCTCTAACACCTGGTCATCAAGTTGCCGCCATTGTCATGTCATTCTTCCTTAGTTTTTGGAACTTGTTCTCTGGTTTTCTCATTCCCAGAACTGTAAGTCATTTCCCTTTCCCCTTGAGAAAAAAATATAAAGAAAAGTAAGGAAAAAAGAAGCTAAAATTTGGTTTGTTCATCCATGGCAGCAAATCCCTATATGGTGGAGATGGTATTATTGGGCTTCTCCAGTGGCATGGACACTTTATGGCTTAGTGACTTCTCAAGTGGGTGATAAGGACGCTCCTCTCGAGGTCCCTGGACGGCAAAATATTACAATAAAGAGCTTCCTTAAGGAAGAATTGGGGTTTGAACACAGCTTTCTTCCAGTTGTTGCAGTGGCTCATATTGGCTGGTGTCTCCTTTTCTTCTTCGTATTTGCCTATGGAATCAAGTTCCTCAACTTTCAAAGGAGATAAACATATATTATATGTTTTAGGAATATAGAAAACTCACTAGTAAGTAATCGGTGAGAACTTCAACTGATTATGTTATTCTTTTAAACATGGTTTTCCATAAAGGCCACAATTTTTTTCACATTAAATGAATGAATATGCTTTGCTGCAATTTCTAGCTCTTCTCTGTTCTTTAGCTTTACTTCGTATTTAACATATTCAACATGGTGGAGATGCGATTGCTTAGCTGCATTTAATCCGAATCCCTCCTGCATCAATGAACAATATCATTGAAACACTTTTACTACTTGGTTTATTGATTTTGGTGCAAATAATCATGCGACGAATGATCAATCCAACATTCAAGGTGCAACTTCTTATCTCGTTTCAAGTATAGATATCAGTGGTAAAGATTCGAACCCATCAAGGGGCCTTACTGATCAAAGAGAGTATTATTCTATCTTAAAGTCCTAGTTTGAGCAACTGTGCCTGCATAGTGTGAGTCGAGTATAGTTATCGTTGGTAAAGATTTGAATCCATCAAGCGGTCTCGGTTATCAATAAGAGTGTTATTCTTTCTTAAAATCCTAAGTTCGAATAGATGCGCCTACGTAGTGTGCGTGCATTAACCAATGAAATTCATGTGGTTTTTGTCTAATTCATCAAGTTGCTATCATTATCATGTTATTCTTCCTTTGTTTTTGGAACCTGTTCTGTGGATTTCTCATTCCTAGAACCGCTAGTCATTTGAAACTTTAAGTTACCATTTCCACTTGAAAAAAGAACAAAAAAACTAAAGAAAGAATTAAGCTATAATTTGGTTTTATTTCAAGTGACTAAATTCAAGTGCTGATGTAGAACCCCTCGGCAACTGATGCAGAACACTAATAGGCGATGAATTAGATGATGATGATCGTAGTGCCTCCGCAAGGGGCCCTCCCATTCAACCCACCTGCTTCGATGCCCGCGTAACACCCAAATTTGCAGTTGTTTTTAATTTAAATTCAATTATCTAAATTTCGGAGACTGTTTTGTGAGGATTTGCAATTTTAAGGACAATTTTTAAACTTCTAAAAGTTCAAGGGATTGAGCTTGTATTTTCCCATCTCCTTTCAACCAAGAAAAAAAATAATAGAGGAAAAGGGAGAAATTGAGGCTATGTGGGATTGAACTTGAAACCTAAGGCGTGAGAGCCTTTCCCCGTACCATTAGAATAAGTTACTATTACTAATAAGAAAATAATATTTATTTTAACTTTAGTAAATTGAGCATGGGTGCACGTTAGCTGGCCTAACGGATTTGAGGATCTCTGTCGCGTCTTCAGCGCCTCCGTTCTTCTTTTGGAGCTTTGTTTTTTACCTTCTGTTTTCCTGATCCCATTTTACTTCTTGAACGAGGAGAGATCTTTTTGGGTGCACAGTGGGTCAAGGCTTAGATTACTATCCTCCTAGGGCTCGCGATGGTTCCACAGTGGTTCAACCTTCTCCAGAGGTCTTTCAATCTGAAACTTCCGAATGGAATCTCTCGCTCGTGGGTCAATTTCTTGGTGCAACACTCAGATTTGCTTCTATGCAGCGGATTGTGGAGAATCTTTGGAAGAAAGCTTTAGCGGGTAATCACGTAAAGGTTAGCTATACTGGTAACAATCTTTACATTTTCACATTTTCTTCTGAATATGATAGAAATTGGGTATTAGAGAACGAACTTGGCATATATTTAACAAGCCCTTGATTCTTAGGAAATGGGAACCAAATATGCGTAGACTAAATTTTGATCTGTCTAGGTTACCTGTTTGGGTACACCTCTTTAATGTTCCCCTAGAACTTTTTAACCGTGTTGGCTTAAGCTACATTGCGAGTGCCATTGGAATCCCCTTTTCCATGGACTCTATAACAGCTGTTAAGACTCGCCATGAATATGCTAAAATTTGCATAGAGATAAGGGTAACAGATGAAATCTAAATTTATAGATGTGATCCTTAGTGAAGGGACAATTGTTTCGGTTGTTGTCGAGATTCCTTGGCTTCCACCTCGATGCAAATCTTGTTGTATTTTTGGACATTCTGATAAAGGTTGTAAGAATTCTAAAGTCCAAGTTCCAGTTAAGACTCAAATTTGGAGGAAAAAAAGAACACTCTCAAATTGTTAAAGTTGAATCTGCTATTGGGGGAATTGAGCTCTTACAAGAAAATCAGCTTCCCTCTATTCTGGATTCTAAGGAGCAAAACCATATTGATGAAACCCCGAAACCTATTAGCAAAGAATTCGATAAGGATCCTAATCTTACTGTGAGGTACCAATAGAGGTACCACTAAATCTTGAACCAAATGCTCCTCAATCTATTGATAAGGGTGATAGCTCTCGAGCTGCTACTAAGAAAGGCAGGGGTAGGCCAATTAAAGACAAGCTAAATTCATCCCTAGCTGCTTCCTCTAACAGATTCGAAGTTCTTAACTGGGTTGATGATTCTAACCCTGTAGCAGCAGTGCTAATCGAAAACCTCGAAAGTCTGCTCTAGGTGTAGCTACTCTAGTTAACGATCTAAAATCTAAAAAGAAAGACAAACTAGTGATGGCTAAGTCCACTCTTGAAGATGGCAATGAGGTTGCCATTGCCAACCTTTCTCAATGATTGTTGCCTTTTGGAACGTTAGAGGACTAAATTGTCCTTTAAAACAAGAAAAAGTACTCAAAAGAGCTATCCAGAATAAAGTTAAAGTTCTTTGTCTTTTGGAAACTAGAGTTAAAGCTGATAAGGCTGGAAATATTCTGCATAACAATTTTAAAATTGGATTGCTGCTACAAATTATGATGTTGCTGTTAATGGTAGAATTTGCCTTCTTTGGAAAATTGGCCTGGATTTTTCTGTTATTCAAACTACTGATCAATGTGTGTTTATCAAAGGCTTTCATCTTGGTGCCTCTCTTACTAGTATTGTTGTCTACGGGAGTAACGATGGTGTTAAGAGAAGATCTCTCTGGCAACAGCTTCGACTCCTGCGTTTCATCGCTGGTATATCCCCCTGGATTCTTGGAGGTGACTTTAATGTCACACTTCACCCCCAATGAAAGTTCTGACACTGCACTTCTAGGTCCTATAATTTCTTCAGATGTGACAGAATTTCAGGACATTATTTCTGACCTCGATCTCTTAGATAACTTCTTTTTTGGTCCAACCTTCACTTGGAGCAACAAGCAGCAAAATTCTTTTCTTGCTAGAAAGCTTGACAGAGTCTTAGTTAACCATATCTGGATGAGCAGTTTTAAAAGTTCTTATGTTGAATTCCTTCCTCCTAGAATATCTTATCATTGCTTATCTTTAGTCTGGCTCTCCAAGGATGCTCAAGCAAATAGACCTAAACCTTTCAAGTTCTTCAATTTCTAGGCTCATCACCCTAATTTTTTGACTATAGTTCAATAATCTTGGATCATTCTTACTCAAGGAAATCCAATGCAATATCTTTTTTCTAAACTTAAGCGACTAAAAGTCAGGCTTAGAGAACTCAATCATTCTAATTATAGTGATATCACTTTAAGGGTTCTTCATAAGAAATCTGAATTAGAGCATCAACAACTTAAAACTCTTAGGGGTGAGGATTCTATTGAAAAGGAAATTCAGCTGCAAAATGATCTTAAATCCCTCGAATCAGCTGAAACTCTGTTTTTAAAGCTGAAACTCTGTTTTTAAAGCAAAAAACAAAGATACAGTGGCTTAAAGAGGATGAAAATGTTCCAAACTATTCCATTCTGCTCTTGCTCTTAAGCACAAAAGATGATGAAAGATATTTTTCAGTTCACTATTACCGAAGACAATGCTCATGATCTTATTAAGGAAATCACTAATGAGGAAATTAAGGTTGCCTTCTTTTGTCAAAGAAATGACAAGTCTCCTGGGCCAGATGGCTACACTCCTTTCTTTTTAAAAAAAAGCTTGGCATATCATAGGAGAAGATGTCACTGCTGCTGTTAAGCATTTGTTTCTTGATTCTTCCCTTCTCCCAGCTTTTAATGCTACAATCATAGCATTGGTACCTAAAATTCCTAACCCAAGCAAAGTTAAGGATTTCACACCAATTTCATGTTGTTCAGTCTTTTACAAGGCCATCTCCAAATTTCTGGTTAGTAAACTACAAAAGCTCATTCTTGATTTAGTCTCCCTAAACCAAACAACTTTTGTTAAAGAAAGAAGCATTGTGGATAATACTCTTATTGCTCAAGAATTGGTTAGAGGTTACAATAGAAAAAAATATCTCTCCTAGATGTTCCCTTAAGATTGATCTTCATAAAGCCTTTGATACTCTTCATTGGGATTTCATCTCTGCCATTCTTAAAGTTATTGGTCTGCCTTCAATCTTCATCAAATGGATTGAAATATGCTTCTTTACAGCAAGATATTCCATATCCTTCAATAGGACCTTAATTGGTTTTTTTAAAGGATCAAAGGAATTAGACAAGGTGATCCCCTTTCTCATTTACTTTTTGTACTTTCAATGAATGTCCTCTCTAGACTTCTCAATTTAGCAACTGACAAGGGTGTCTTCGGGTACCATCCTAAACACAAAAGAATAGCCCTCACCCACCTCTCTTTTGCTGATGACCTCTTAATTTTCTACAAAGGTTCGATTGATTTTGTCATTGGGGTCACAAGTGTCTTAGATCTTTTTTATGAGATATCTGGCCTAATGCTTAATGCCTTAAAATGTGACTTTTATGCTACTGGTTTACATCCTTCAACTCTTGAGGAAATTCATCTGGCCATTGGTTTTAAAAATGGCAGTTTTCATGTTCGCTATTTAGGAATCTCGTTGGTCTCTAGAAAAATCTCTGAAAATGATTGTGCTACTCTCATTGATAATATTAGAGTAAGACTAAATCACTGGACTACCAAAACTTTAAGTTATGCTGGCAGACTCGAGCTCATCAAAACCGTTTTATTTAGCATTACAAACTACTGGTGCAAGCAAATCTTTCTGCCTCAATCGGTGTTAAACAAAGTTGAGCAGCTATGTTCGCGCTTCTTATAGAAAGGGGCTGATAAATCTGCAACCG